GCCACACAAGGTAGGAGTAGTGACGATGCAGAATGACTAAGCGAGAGCGGTGATAAACAGCCCCTTTGGTAGTTACCGTCTGGCTGCTTTTCTGAGCATTCCCTCAGCTAACTGTCGGTGCCAGCTCAGGTAACTGGACGAGCGCAGCAGTGCTTGGATGAGCAGCTCTGCAGTGACTCCAGAGGATGGTAATGCTCAGCAGAGGGTGGGAACAACTGGGAGTGATGCTGGCTGTGGGGGTTTGCTGGGCAATACACCTGCAGTTGCTCATAGCCTCTTCAAAACACTCACCAGACTAAATGCTGACAGCTAAATAAGAAAGAGATAATCTGATTTGGGGCCTCGGTTACATCTAAGGAATGAGAGTTTCAGGAAGTTTCATGGTATTAGGATCCGGTTATGTGAACACCCACCAGCAGAAAATGAAGTATTAGAGCTGTTAACGTGCTTGCAAGGGTAGGTGTGTGATGATCAGAAATTACAAATGATTTATTGACATAGGTCAGAAGTCAAGAAGTGGCGTATTTTAAAAAACAAAAACTCAATGAACAGACCAACAGTCCTTAGACTCTTCCTCGGTCATCGGTCATGCTGCACCAGGCACCACTTCCCAGCGCTGAAGGCCGAGGCACCCTTTGGCCATAAAATACACCAGGCCTTGGAGTAACTCCACTGCAGCATTTCCTTCTTTAAAATTAATTAAGCTTGTGGTAAGCAGAAGGGTGTTATTTCAAAGTATTACTATTACTGGAATTTTTTAAATTAAAAAGCTTATAGAGTCTTTTCCCAGCTTCATTATATCTTGTTATTTAAAATACTTGTGGACCTGAGAGACTCTTGTAATGAAAAGACATAAATTAGGTGGGTCAGTCAGCAGATCACGTGTTTTGGTTTGTTTTCTATATCCTGTACCCTGTGGTTACTAGTTTTGTCTTTAAGTGCATCCAAAACCCCAAATGCCTTTAACTCACTAAAAGGAAAGTCTTCTCGATAAACTGCCTGGGTGATTTTCAGCTGAGAAGAGCCAGTTAATTATAGAAATGAGCATTGCCCACTGTTCAAATGGGATTAAGTTTCAGCCAGGCTCTTGAATTAAAATGGTGGATATGGTCAGAAGAAAGAGCACTTGACATTTAAAACCTTAACTGTGGAATTCTAAATTGAAGCATCATTTTCTGTATGAACTTGGGGGTTTTGTTTTTCTTTAAATGGGGGGGGGGATGGCATCAAAATTTTATTATTAGGCCTTTTAAAATAATGTTACTTCAGGCTTACTTAGCTGGTCAGCACAAGCCCTCCTGTGGGTATTCTGCGTACTCGGCAGCTTCCAGCAGCTCAAAAGGATTGGGAGTATCTGCAAGCTATGGTTTAAAAAACTGATCAAAACCCTTAACCAAAATGGAAGTATCTACAGTGTGGCTTCTATCAGGTTTAATGAAGTTAGTTAAAATCATACCGTCAGTTAAACTGGTATCGTTTGCTTTAGTCTCTACTTAAATATACAAACTTTCTAAGATGAGGTGGACTGTTGCCATTAATTTCAGTGTTGAAATGAGAAGACCAGCACAGCTTAATACAATTTTAAAAGCCAAAACCCACAAATATTATGTCAGATTTCCACATAATAGAAAAATACTGTCTCCCACTCATAATTTTCCATCTAGTTTGTGGTGCCAATGAGTTTCTCTAAGTGAAATTTAGATTTTTCAAGCACCATAAAGTAAGTCCAGAAATAAAGCTGCTTACTGCAATATAAAAACATTTTCACACAGCACTGTATTGCTTGCATCATTGCCTTCTGCATTAGCAAGGAGTAGTGTTCCAAGACACAGAAATGTGTCACGCCAGAAAATTTACCTGTTCACTTTGTCTTACAAGAGATGCCATCGAGAATCAGTTGCTACTTGTTCCATACCAGTGAATGCCAAGGGTACGGCACGAGATGGGAGAGGCTTAGGGTAACGAACTGAATAGAAACATGGGCAAACCAGTCTTGCTGCTGACCGTTTGGTTCTGAAACGCGTCTGGTGGAGGGAAACCCTGCGTGTTGAAACAGCTGAGCTCAACGGAGCTGGGTGGTTGCACAATGTTCTCAATCCCCTCCTTACTCCTAATTGCTCAGAGCTCAATTCAGATGCAGCAGCTGCGTTTGGTGAGGTCCTGCATTCACCTGAATTGTTTCGGGGTTTTGTTGTTGTTGTTTGTTTGGTTAAATATGTCAGCTAAGACCAGCCGGAATGACTGAGAGGCTTTTTTTTTTGAGGCTTGTCTGAGATCACACACGTGTGACGATGGCTGGGTAAGGCCCAGGATTCTCCTAGCTCCCAGACTTCAGTGTAACCACAAGACTGCAGTGCTGTAGCTGAACTTCATCCTCAACTGGCGCTTGGCACAAAGAGCCCCAAGGAAAGAATTTCCCTTTGAAGGCTCTTCTAAATGTACTAACTTGTTTTGTCCTTTGTAATTAACTAATTCAAGAAAAATAACTTCCAAAGTCTTGGTTCAGCTGTCTAAATAAATGTTATGTGCGCCTAGATTGCTGTTGGTTTTTTTGGTTTCTGTGTTTGTGTTTTGTTTTGTTTCTTAAAAAGTCGACAGCCTGAAGTTTGCCAGAAGGCAAGTAGTTTGTGCAGGCTGCTGCTCTGAAGGACGTGGACATCAATGGAAGGAAGGTATCACTGACGATCTTCCTGCTGTAAGGCAGCAAGCACACTGCCTGCTAATAAAATCCATTCCATGTCTGGGCAGGAGGCCTTTTTTTGCCAGGTTCTGATAGGTCAAAGTGCTCCTCTTTAGAAATTGTTCACTGTTTTGCTGGCTTTTCTTCTTACACACATCTTGAGAGGGAAATGAGAAGAAAGTGCTATGTTAAATGTGCCCCTAATGTAGTGGGGAGGAGGAATAATAACTTTAGAAAATGTTCCCCTCGTTAAGAGTTGCACAGGATCCTGCATCTATCAGGTATGTTTGATCTGCCCTCTCCAATGAAAGCTGACAGGGCACTTTTTGACAAAAACAATGGGTTTTTAAGAATAAAAGCCATTACCCGCTTAAATGTAATGCCATTCATGAAGCTGACAATTCCACAGTAATATGCCTGGAGTATCTGTTACCTTCTCCTCTTCTTTCAGAAGTGAGCCACTTCAATCAAGTGCACTGACTCTCTCAGCAAGAATATTATTTTGTATTTGTAAAGCTTTTCTTCATACAGAGGTAGCGTTACAGATTTGGTTGAAGTGAGGCAGTGCAAACCCCTCAGGCTGCTGTTGCCTGTGAGCAGTGAGCACAGGACGGTCTTAACAGTCCTGCTCAGAGGGTGAGCAACATGGCAGGCATGTAAGAATTCTTTTGATTTTTGCATTTGCAACTCGCTTGTGAAGCTTGACAGCTCTGCTTTCTCAGTCAAGAGCTACACCTAAATGATGGTGCTGCCCTAACTGTACCTCAAACGCAGGAGTTCCAACTGTCTGTGAAAAGCTGCTGAATGTTTAATGCAAACACGCAGGTGTGCTTGTGTGCTCCTCACAGTTTTACCCGTCCTGTACGGAGCCAGCTGCGTGCGAACTCCTGTACCACAGCCAGCTGCTTTTCAGCTGGAGCCCCAGTTTACCCACCAGCTCAGGTTTGGTGCTTTTGGGTCTCGCTGGCTCGAGGGCAGGTCTGTCTTGAAGACGTGCCCCCACTGTGCCAGCGCAGCGGCCACAGCAGGCTGCTGCCCCTGCCCAAGCGAGGAACAGGATTAGATGCTGCCTCACCTCGGAACTCAGTAACAGAGCCAATGTCCCTGGGCCCTGACAGCTCGTACACTGGGAAACAGGTCAGCTCTTTACATACAGTATAAAACCTAAAAAGTAACACTATTTTAAACTGGATTTACCTAATTAAAAATAGTTAACTTCGAAACTAGTTAAAACACTGGATGTTAGAATACCATGGGAAGAGTACATCTACAGTGTATTTTTTTTTAAAAAAGGTCTGTATGAGTGGATGTGATGTTAGCTGTAGAACACGGAGCCTCCTGCTGCAAGTCTAACTTAACAGCTCAAATGCAATTCATGTTGTGTACTTTTAGCCACAAATTATTCTAAGAAGTGGTTCAATACGACTATTTTTCAAAGGCGCATCAAGGTGAGTGCAACTGAAGTAAGTTCATTTTAACAAACCTAGTCTGTCATAATCCAAACTGACTAAAATGCAAAACATGGATTGTTGAAATTTAGTTTTTTTCCTAAGAACCTCAGCCTATGACCTAGAAAGTTATGTGATCTGCCCACCCTGAATTTGAAAATACTGCCTTGAAAACGTGCTGCCCAAGATCCTTCACACAGAAGCCATTTCTCTAAAAAATCCAACACGTGCTATAAAATCAAAGGGGTTATAAAGTTAGAACAGTAAAGGAGAAGCTATACTGGATACACTATAATCTAGAAATACAATTTTTAAACTTTTTTTCCTTGAAAAAAGCTGGTGTAGAGAATACTGCTGTTTTTATCCTGACTGTTTAATAATGGCTAAGAATAATCATTTATAATAAATTAGGTCTGCAGTATAAATGAACATATGAACCTTTCAAAAGAGACATACCGTTGTTTACTTTTAGAGTATCTAAAATGGATTTAAACTATTTCAAGATTCATTTAATCACTTGCAATTTATATTACTTTTAAGAATCTTCTATACAGCAAGTTGAACAGCAAAGCAAACATTCTAACAGCCCCTTTCCCTAGAACAATTTTCGTATACGATAGTTTTAAATAGCTATTCTAGCGCATTTGCGCATGCTCTCTCCCCCTTTCTCTAAAGGTAGCACAGCCAAAAGGCAATGCGAGAGCTGGCATTTGCTGACTGACTCTCTTTTCCTCTGCATCTGGTAAAGGTAAGGGGAAGACAGACACTTGAGACAGAATGTCCCAAAATGGAAAATGTGAGCTTGACATTTACTTTGCCCAGTCTCCGGGGACTTTGTTCTCTCCCTTGGTCATACTTGACAAAACCCATCCTGCTCTGTGTCTGCACGGCACTCGCTGTTCAGTTACAACAAGTGTTCAGTTTCAGCCATGGATGAATCTGTTTTGAAGCCTCCATTTTGCTTCACTGAACACAATGCAAACCAAGGCAAGAAACTTCAGTAAAATCCGAACAGGAGCTCCCATTAACAATATTTATGAGCAGCATTTTGTATATTCTGTTTTCCACTGTCCTTATTCTGGGGAGGAAGAATCCTCATCTTCATCCTCTTCATCTTCATCATTGAATGAGCATGGAGTTTCTCCCCGTGATTCCGAGTAGCGGGATGTTGCACTGCTGGACTGTTGACTGCTAGGGGCAAGAAACTGCCCTGTTGCTAAGGCCACTTCAGCATCCAAACTCAACCCTGGATTCCCACTACCAAAACAACAGAAATGGCGAAGTTTAGAGCACGTCTCATGAAGATTTAAGTTTTCTTTTTGGCCTCAGCTTTTCTTTTAGTTAAGCAAATGCTATTAACAAGGAAAAAAATCAAAAGCTTTACATTTACCACAGCTAATAGTTATGAAAACTGCTCAAATATTGGTAAGTCACATAAAAAGGATCATTGGGTGGCTTTTTTTTTCATAACCAACTAGCAGAATTGCTCAAGCCAAAGAAAGCGTAAAGAAGAATAAATCCATCACAGTTTTGTCAATACCCAGCAATGTTTGCAATATGAAATTAAGCCATTAAATGGCATGAGGAAGAACATCTTCCAGAATAATCCCTCCTTCCATTTTTTAAGGTACCTCCAAGCAAAGTATGGTTGTTGAGGTGTTTTTTGGATTGGGTTTTTGGTGATGGTTGTTTTTTGTTTGGTTGGTTAGTTTTTAATTTAAAATTATGATTAGACTGTGTGGACTAAACTTCTTTCATGAGAGTTTAAGCAGTAGTGCATTGAAACACCAGTCTTTTGTATTCTTCAGAAGTATTACAAGGCTTTTTTCCATATGTGATTACCTAATTGTAGTCTGTGCCCAGGCAGGAATTTAAGGTTAATCAGGAAAACTCTGTCTATATAATAAGGGCTTGGAAGCGATTCTGTTCTTTTGAAACACAGATACAAAATAGCTAGTATGTTCAAAATTCAAAGCACGTTGATTTGACCTTTCGTATCTAATTATCAAGGAAGACAGAATAAGAGACTTTTTCACAACAAAAAATCAACCATAACAGAAAACATCTCATTTGCTGCATGTAAATGGTGTGCAATAGTGAAGTTACTGAAAGTACAACGAGTGTATGTCACTAATCTTGAATAAAACATGATGTTATTTACCTCGATTTAGCATCAGAAGTGCCTCCTGCTACCTCTAAATGTGAAACTGCTTGTGCTGAAAGTAACCCTTGGCTTATCCATGAAAATCCTGCAGACATATCTAGAAGAAAGCATAATTGTATTTATGATAGTGACTTAAATTTTTTTCTTCCTTTTATGATCTTAAACTTTGTATTCTCTTTGCAGTTAGGATTCCTTAGTTTAGAAGAGAAGGTACCAGTAGCTCGAGTTGATTTTATGCTGTAGATGTGTCCTGTTTAATCAAGATGGAATTATCCATTTATCTATCTATCTATCCATCTATCTATCTCCCTGCTGTTTGTGGATGCACTCAAGCCTTACACTCCCTCGCGATCAGAACTGTGGTTATTTCTATGAAGCTTCTCCCTCTCTCTGAAGAGATTTCACACTGCAGATGGCCCCGGCCAATAGCTGTATGCAGGCACCGGTACCTGAAATAGTTCTGGAGTTCTTCATGGAAACATACTGCTACAGCTAGAACCCATCAAACGCCCCAGCAGCCCCTTCTGACAGTGAAGAGAGACAGCAGGCAGCTGTGGACACGAACACACCGCGTCAGAGGTCTTGTGCCAAGAGTACACCGCATGTGTGACATGTAAGTCAGTCTCCTCCCTAGGGATAGGAAATTTTAGGATTAAAATGATCTTGCAATAATGCTGAATTCCTTAATTTGTTAAAAGCCCTCTGAGGGATGGGAATGGGTTACTTGCAACCCTCAGCACTTGTTTTCAAATCCCCTACCAAGTAATGCCTGTCAATTGTTTCCAGTTGCGCTCATTTCTGCCAAGAGAATAAGCAAAACAAGTCGCTGACCCAGTTATGGGGGGGTGGGGGTGGGGAGGCTGTTTCTGATTTGTTTCTTAGATAAGGTGTTTCTGTTGACCCACCCAAATTCTGTCTCAACACAAAGATAAAATCAAGTCATCACGACTGTCTAGTTCTTCTTCATGGTGCTCCCATGTGGCTCCAGCTGGATGCATTAAACCACGAGTTACAGTCCTTACTACTATTCTGCAAACCTCTGGTCTGTACAGCAAGATGGCAGTAAAATAGGATTGTACTATCCATATTTTATCTAGAATTGTTCTGTAGTAGCAGATAAGGGAATAACTAAATGTGTTTGCTACATATGCATTCTCATTTGTCATTCTTGTTAAGCTTAGGCTCCGTGAGATGACAGAGTGCTGCCAAGCACAGGGACTATTGGGAGCAGGTTGTCACAGCCACCTGAACTGCCTTCACTGCCCACTGGGATTCACAGGCCACCTTGTGTTGTGCTGTGGAGACTCATTAGCAGCGAGGTATTGAAACGATTCATTACAAAGCAAGGCTAGCAAGGCTGATGTTCCTGCCAGCAGAGTCTTTGGAACATGACAGAGCATTAGTAAGTGGCAGCTTTAGGGTGATCTATGAGGACAGACTAGATGAGAATAGTTGACTGTGGACATAGCTGGATGGCTTGCATTGAGATTGCCCTGAACGCAGGTTCATTTCTACAGAGAACGTGTTCTGACAGTTTCCTCCTGTCTTTGCAGGAGGAGGCTAAACCATTTGGAATGACCGCATTGTATTTAGATTAATAAAGTGGATTAGAGGTGTATCACAGTGTTGTTTCCTGGTCTTTTGAAGGGGTGTACCTGTGTGTACATGCTTAATAGTCCAGAAGAATAACAAGTCAGCGCTAGTAATCTTGCATTTATTAACGTTTTGGGATAATAACTAGTTAGCTTTTCTTTTCAAAGAGCAAGGTGAAAGAAAGTATGGATTTTATACTTTTTAATACTTTTATACAAAGGCAGCAAGGTTCATAGATGCATATCCCTGCCTTTTACTTTCACTGTCTTGTATTTCCAAATTCTGTTTTCCAGTGGGCTCTGACGAGCCAGGGAAAAGAGGAAGTGTGTGAAAGATGGGGAGCTGAAGACGCCATTTCCTGTCTGGAAAGGACTGTCAAAATAGAAGTCTGCCTGCAATGAGAAGACTTACTATTTCTACCAGAGCAGGTAAATTACTAATAGCTACACTTATGCACCAGGGAAAGCAGCTTGGAAGAAACTTCCCACAGTGGTACAGCCCAATCTAAGAGTGGCATCCTTACTCTGAACGAGGCATATCGTGCAGGAGATACACTTGGTATATCTTAGAGAAGCCTCTAAAGGAATACCATGAACAGCCTTGTGTAGTCAATGCAGAAGGAATAGTGCTGCACAGGATTATTGTTGATAATCTTCTCTCTTCAGTTCCAACTCCAGCCCATTTTGCAGTCAAGGTTTGTTACGCAGGTAGATCACAGAGGACTATTTCATGCAGGGAAGAATAAAGTGGTGTAATCTAGAGGTCCTAAACTGCACTACTTCCTCTGCCCACTGCCTCAGCAGCATACGTACAAGTGGGATGGTGTTACCACAGCTATTGGTGCCTCAGAATTTTTATTTCCTGCTTTTTAAAACCTGTAATCTCCTTTCTAGGAGCGAGGACTCAACTGACAAAGGCAGGAGGACTTAGTTTTGCATTAACTGCCTGTAGTATATGCATGGCTTAAAACCCACAGGATGTTGCTTTGGAGATGGTTCTACAAGAGTTTATGCTTGTCTCAAGCAGTGGCGTATTTCTGTTCATCCACCAACCTCGCTCGCTCCTTCACACAGAAACTGTTCTGGTTTGTGCCCTTAGCTATACAGTTCTGCATGCTAAATTGTCAGAAACGCCTCTGCCAGCTAAAAAGCCTGCAGCTGAGTGCCCTGAACCAGCTCATGAAGAGGGCAGTGGAGAGCAACTGTGTCCATGAAAAAAAGGCCAGCAACGTGCCACCAGGATTCTGACCCAGGGATGGCGTCTGAAGCTGGTGCCAAGTGTCCTGTCAGAAACAACACTGCTTCTTCTGCAGGAAGACGCTGGCAAGTACTGTGGCTGTAATGCAGTCTGTTGTATGTCCATGACTTTTTCTGGATTACCAACTTAAGTAAAGCAACATTTTAATGTAAACTTTTACCGTAAGTTATGGTTAGGCTGCTGCACCCTCTACTTTTGCTCCCTTTTGGGAAACAAGAAAAAGTAAGGTCAAATCATGTCAGTTTTAGAGGTCTGTATCAATTACGACAATCGAGCAACAGAAAATGTGTTACAAACATCGTTTAAGATACATATAATATTTTTCTTCATGGTGTTAATATGCCTTAGCTTCTGCTGATTTCAGCAGCGGTCAGACACCTGAGGATCATACCAATGTAGTACTTAAAATACATGTTAAAAAACCCCAACACTTTTATGCTAAAGCATCATGAAACCTATAGCAAACCTAGCAGACACTACTTTTATCAAATTAGGCCACTTGAAAAATGGCTAAAACACATGATTCTCCTGCAAAGAAAATACACTAGTAAAGTTTTGATGCACACAACATCTATTCAGCAGTTCCAAGCAAATTATTTGGCACGTTTAATGCAACTAGAAGTTGTTTTTTTTCTAAAGCTGAGACGGTCCAAGTTTTTTTGTCAAGTTTAAATTTCTTTCATTGAACTGGTTTAGACTTGCATTCTCCCAACTGTTTCTCCAGCCCTATTAGCAAGCATTACAACACAAACTACTGTTAGTGTTTGGAAGTCAGTAATTATCTGAAAAAAAGATGACCCAGGCTAAGGTCAAGCTAACATTGTATGGGCAATGACTTACCTACTTGGACGTATTAGAACAGGACTAGTTTCTACAGCAGTTGAGTTCATGAGTCAGCTAGTGTGGGAGAACTTTACTCCTGACTGTAATAAATTTACTCAGTGAATAAACAAAAGACCTTGATTTGCTTTTCTTGTACAGTAGTAATTGAAGCCAATGTACTTTACAGAATCACAGACTGTTCGGGGTTGGAAGGGACCTCTGTGGGTCATATAGTCCAAACCCCCTGCCGAAGCAGGGCCACCTACAGCAGTCCGCAGAGGACCTTGTCCAGGCGGGTCTTGAATATCTCCAGAGAAGGAGAATCCACAACCTCCCCGGGCAGCCTGTTCCCCGGCTCC